ATTTTCGCCTGTTGAACGCAGACAGTGCAGGATTATAAAATACTTGTTCCAGCGATCACACCTGCTTCTTCTCAGGAGTACAAGTTTTCTGACTTCCGCTGATAAAATAAACATCAGCCGTTTATTGTTCACATTGGAGCGGAGCTTTGACTTGAGAATGGAGTCGACAGCAGCCGGTGCGCCTAGCATATACACCAGAAGGGTAGACTCGGTCAAGAATTCCAGTTACTGTGGTAAAATTGTAATTATAGTGAAAGTATATTTTAAGTTACGCATTTTCTTCACACTTTAAATAACCTGCGGTATTGTCTTCCTGCAGATGGAGGAAAAATATGGATCGCAAAGATGGTGTTGAGCTTGTAGGGGTCTAAGCCGTGAGGTTACTCGGAGCCTTACAATTATCACGCCCAATTCCGCACAGGAAGAGAAGGCGTAAAGACCAATGGGAATTGTGTATTCTGCACAGAAACTCCGTTCTGGTTTGAAGCCCCGACGCGCGCATCTGTTTACTAGCATGATGTGAGTGGGAATGCGTCAATGTCATGCGAGAGTGAGTCACTTACTGCCTGATTGGTTGCTTAAATAGTAGCTGTTCTTTGCACCTGTGATTAGCTGTTCCAGAGGCAGGCCGAGAACCGCCATCATGTGAACTCTTGCGCGGCGTGGCGCTACAAGCTACTCTAGAAACGCCCAACGTGTCCACGAGCGATAGGTGGCGCAGACTGGCAGTCAAGTGGAAGGTCATCTGCGAGCATGGGCTATAAAGCGAGAATGACTTCAGGTGCATTTAGTGAAAGATTCAAGAAACCTTACCTTATAATGTACTGCAGGAGATGGTTTTCTCCATCCACATACTAACGCTTTCATGAGTGACGGTTTTTCTCTCTCTTTGAAAAGAAATCAAATCGCATTCATTTTGTCTATTTCTGCCGAAGTTTAAGTTTTTTCATTGTTCGTTACTTTTCATATCAGACTGCCTATTTTATTAGCACAACCTGAGTACTGTACAGTGTGCACTTACTTATTCCAAAATCCGTTCATGAGAACTTCAAACCTGTCGAAATGAGGGGGTATTTCGTCGTAATCTGCCTTTATCTGCTGGTCTGCGTCCTTCGTACAGAGACAGCTTGTTCGCGAAAACTGCCCTTCAGGATAACTCAGGTGTTCACCCGATCATCCCAGGTGTGAGTGAGGAAGCTGCTAAATGTATATCCCTATTTTATATGCTTATTGCAAATATAGGACGCATGCCTTATTACCCAGATATTGTTATAATTGAAAAGAGAGATCTTCGGAAAATCGAGTTATACTCGTGAGTTTTCGAACGGGTATCACTTGTTCGTTATCAGACTAAGTGAAAAGCGAGAATTGGGAATGTTGCACCAGAGGATTTGGGGGCAGAGGTTACAACGATGGGGTTGGGAGGAGGGTTACGGTGACGCGAATTCTGCGACAATAGTTTGTGCGGATAAGGGGGAGGTGTTAACGTTTGGATTGCGGACCACGCGTTTCGGGGGGGAGGGAGGGGGGCACAGAACCAGTGAAATCCTACTTGAACGAGTACGGATAGCCTGCTGTTGCTTCAGGCTGAGTGCAGGTTAGTGGACCACGTGCGGAAACCAGCATAGGGTGAACCAAGGTCTACGTGTCTGTTCATACTGGCCGGGCTCCAGTGCCAAGCTTCGAGAAATTATCTCCCCATTGCGATCACCTCGATACCATTCCAGTTGAAGCGGTGATCACACTCAAGGATGTGCGCAAATACGAGTGATAAAAGGACCCGTTAGCAAATGGCTAACTTATGTCCCTTTATGGGAGTCTCGGGACGTCGGCCTGTGTGGCCAATATAAACACAAGGACAGTCGGCGCACGGTATGCGTTAAATAACATTACTTAATTTTTCTACGGGTAGGGAGTCCTTTACTCGACATAAGGTTGCGCGCAGTGATGATGCGGGCTTGTGGGCGACGGAGATGCCGAAACGACTTAGTTGTCGTGGCACTATATCTCCATTGGGAGGGAGGTTTTGTGCTTGACCCCGACATCTAAGGCAATTTTTGACAAAGCTTATCGGACATCCGTTGGCCCAAAAGAATTTGTACAAATACGCTAGTTCTCTCTTGAGCAAACCATCATACCGACAGGCCCGTTGGAAAAGAGTACGAAGAAATAAGATTAAGAAATACTAAGTTGACATGCTTGGCTGATTCTGGAGCAGGTTGCTCCCGTATTAGAGAAAGAGACCTTCTGTAAAATTCAAGCAATAGTTAGATATTTTAGTAGGTCTCAAGTTAGCCTGATAAAGAGACTAATGACACTACCTTGCGACATTAAATATGGTAGAAACTGGGGTTATTATTAAATGAATTTTCGTTAGCTCATAATTCCATTATTCGCCATGATAAAGCTTGGAGCTGCATACTAGGAGCCGATTTCCTACGAGCACATATAAGTGCTCGGTAGATTTAAATGATAAAATGCTCCGTCACTGAAGTGCCCCTTAGAAACGAGCAATCGGACAGACAGCCGGAGGTTAAGACACTCTAACTAAGAAGTTAATCTTAGCCAGGGTAGGGAATGTGGTAGTTCTGTTACTACTTAAAACGACATCATGCGCGATGCTCTGGCCTGCATTGACTAATGAAATTTCGATGTTGCGCGCAAGCATATTTTCCTCATAAAACTAGGGTTCACCGAAAAGCTTGGGCATCATTCAACTTGGGCCGTACTGCAGCCGGCGAGATGCCTGTTGGGCTACACCACACATGGCGTGCCCTATGATAATTCGAAAGTCCATACAGTTGACCTAATTGTGGAAAAATCGCAGCCTCAGTGGGGATCGAACCCACACAGCAGGGAGGGCTTTTGCGCAGTCAGCGCTCTACCACTGAGCTACGAGGCTCACTGTGAATTTAATCACACTCGGGTCAATTTACCCGCCCAACCTACGGCTCGTATGGAATCCACCATTACGGATACAGCAGGATGACTGCCCGGGCAGGACTTCATGAACAACCACCTGGAATCCACCAGAATGACTACTTAGCTCACTTAACTATTAGCAGGGGTTGATAGATTTGAATAATTCAGTTGCCCTAGTTGTGAAAAACTCGCGGCCTCGGTGAGTGAAGATTTCACAGTTGAGTCAACTGATAGTCACTACCGACAAAGTCCATCGTGTATCGCACAACGCGTCTCACTAGTTTATCGGATTCGGAGTATGTAGGCCGAGATACCTCGACACATAGGAGGCAATCTGTGTTATCGGCTGGACGCTGCCTGCAGAATACACATTGCCTGCTCCTAGATAATGCAACACAAATAACCCGTTCCTGCTACTGTCTCTGATGAAGTATCCGCAACGGATTTCGAAGCGTCAGGCGAATAAAGCCTTGTCCCATCGATCATATCTTCACAAATAAATTATCCCTACCTACCCACCGTAATTGTCCTACTTATGTGAGACAACTGCGGCATCAGAGATCCACAAAAAGGTACAGGAATCGCTCAGTGGAGGTCTCCGGTAAGGGCGCTAGGTGCCGTCAATGCCACATCGCACTACTCAGACAACATGGAAATTGAACTCTGCAAAAGCTTCCACGAAGGGAGCTGGGACGTGCCCGTGGACAGTTTCAGTTCGGCGGCAATCAACTTTATTAAAAATAGCAAGGCTGTAGGAATCTCAGCGTGGGATGATCGTTCATCGATTTGGTTCCAGTACAAAACACATCCATCCTTTGGGGTTCAGGAGGGAATGGATCTGACAAAGCGAGACCGGAATGGTAATTTCTGACTAGTTAGCCGT